CGCCGCCCCGGCCCCTGCCGCGGGCCCGGGACAGATGTCCTTTACCTTCGCCTCTCCCACACAGGTGCGAACGCCATTCCGGACCCCGGACTCGCGCCCCTTCCCCGTGTGGTCCGGATCTGAGTCCCCCAACCTCCCGAGCCCTGGAATCTGACACCCAGAGGCGGGAGCCGCGCGTCGAGCCCGCACTGCCCTCGCTGCAGGCAGCTTTCCGGAGATGAGCGCCTTTTCCGTGCCCCTCCCTGCAGCCCCTTCTCGGTGTCCTTGCAGCGTCGGCCTGACGGGCTCGCTGGCTGTTTCATTCTCCTTTAGCAGGTGACATCTCTGAGATCCTGCCCCGAGACCCAAAACCCAAGCGTCGGCCCTAGCGCATTTTACTGCAGGGAAGACCGAGTCCCGGATGGTGTGGGCCTGGCTCGCAGTGACCCATTCCTTAAATGTCTTTTCCAGGTTTTTTTCAATGGCGCCAACGTCAGGCAGGTGGATGTGCCCACGCAGACAGGGGCCTTTGGAATCCTGGCGGCCCACGTGCCCACCCTGCAGGTCCTGCGGCCAGGGTTGGTCGTTGTCCACGCTGAGGATGGCACCACCTCCAAATACTTCGGTGAGTGGAGCAGGTCAGAGGGACAGGAGCGGGAAGGGACGAATGTCCCATCTCAGTCATCTCGGCAAGATCAAAGCGCTGTAGGCCTCCAGGGCATGGTGCGCTCCACGACCCCCCAGCTCCGGGCTGCCTGTGGTTAAGTAGCCTGTGGGGGATTGGGGAAGGATGACATGCCTGAAGGGGACAGTTCAGAGGAGGGGGACACTCATGCAAGAGGAAGTGAGCCCTGTCCATCCCCAACGCTGTGGCCCAGCCCGCGGCTCACCCCTGACCCTGCTTCCGCTGATGGGTGGAGGGAAGGGGTTGTGTCTCCATGTCCAGCCCCCAGCAGATTTCCGTGGTAGCCTCCTGGTCCCTTGTGTCCTCTCCAAGAGCCCGTCCCCCACACTGGACCCCAGGCCCCTGTAGGGCCACCATCCTGGCCCTGGGACCGATGGCTTTTCTCACGCCTTGACGTGGAGGTCTCACCCCTGCCCGCAGTGAGCAGCGGCTCTGTGACAGTGAACGCTGATTCGTCAGTGCAGTTACTGGCCGAAGAGGCTGTGACGTTGGACATGCTGGACCTGGGGGTGAGTGTCTGAAGGGAAACCGAGGCACCAAGCAGCAGCAGGGTCCAAGAGCTTATGGCTTTGGGGGTGGAGGGGCACGTACCAGGTCGCGGATGCCACTTGACCCTCGCCCAACCCCTCCCCACTGCAGGCGGCCAAGGCAAACTTGGAGAAAGCACAGGCGGAGCTGTCGGGGGCGGCGGACGAGGCTGCCCGGGCCGAGATCCAGATCCGCATCGAGGCCAGCGAGGCGCTGGTGAAGGCCCTGGAGTAGGCGGCTGCGCCTCTCACCCCCTCGGGGACGGGGCTCGGGCACCCCCTCTTGCCTGTGAGGGGGTGCTCTGGGCAGGGAGAGCCGGCTCGCTGGGGTTCACTGTGACCAGGGGTGAGGACGGCCCATGGGGGGGGTCGTCATTTCAAGGAGACCGGCAGGGGGCAGTGTAGTGCCACCTCTGCTCTTGGGGTGACAGAAACTCCCGGGGCTCACCTCTCGCCTCCCAAGTTCCCGCCAGCGTGATCTGCTGCCCACCGTTTCCATTCTTGCAGACTGTGCAGCAGTGACTTGTCCCTAGCTGCTGCTTACAGATAGCCTGGCCTTGGTCACACCCCATTAAAGACCAGGGTCCCCACTCATGTGTGCGACTTTGTCTCCGCCTGGGGTGGTGGGTTTGGCGCCCTGCGACCCTGTGTCCCCTGTGAGGTAGGGCAGCAGCCTTGGGAGTGGCCTGCAGTGAATGGGAGTGGAGGGTGGGGCACAGCTGGTGGGGCCAGGCCCGGCGGTGGGCTGAGGGCTGGCCTTCACACCAAGAGGGTGGGAGGAGCAGTGGCCACTGGTCAGGCATGGGGGCAGCAGGTTAGGGGATAGGGGCTGTGACTCCTGCACCAGCCTGGGCTACTGGACAGACACCTGGCGTCTTGTTGGGTTTCAGCCTGTGACATCTGCCCTGTGAGCTCCCTGGCCCTGCCCCAGCCAGGCTGGGAAGGGGCGGGTCCTGCCTGCTCCCACAGAGGTCCCTCCCTTGAGCCGGCCTGGCCTGTGGGTGGCCCTGGTTGGCTGGGTGCCCAATCCCCAGTGGCGTTGGCACCCAGGCGCCTGGGCCAGCCCCAGCTGGGGCGGGGCATCTGGGCGTGGCCAGCCCAGGTCCTGGTCGGCTTCAGCACTGGCCCACCTCCTCCCTTTCGCAGCCCTGGGTGCAGCCCAAACTGGGGCCTCCCTGGTCTCCCCAGGCCTGAGCGGGGCCGGCAGGGGATTCCAGGAAGGTGACTGCAAGAGCTTGGGTCTTCCTCTGTGTCACTGGCAGCCGGGAGGTGACAGGGAGGCCACCCCAGGGCGTGTCAGCACGGATGGGCTATGTACTCACAGTCCCGTGCAAGTGACTCCTCCATGGCTGAGTCTGAGGGGTGGCGCAGTGGAACACGCACAGGGGCCTCCAGGCGAGCTCATGGCTCTGGGGGTACGTTGGGCCTCCTTACTCTGGCTGTCGAGGCCAAAGCAGCAGGACTCCCAGCCCAGATAAGGCTGTCAGCCATGGGGGTCACAGGTGTATCCCCCGCCGCCATCGCCGACTCAGAGCCCGGATTCTTAAGAGTGCCTGGCCAGCCCAGCTGCTTTAAATGAGACTGCGGGGGCACGAGAAGGGAGGTAGATCTTCAAGCCCCTGCGCCAGGGCTCTTCCACACTAGGAACCCCTGGCAGGTATCCCCACATTCTGAGAGGCCTCAGCCTGTAGGTGGGGGAAAAAGCTGGGTGCCACCAGGACCTGCTAGCACAGCACAGGCACCATGAAAGACAGAAGCCTTGGGGACACCCTTCCCTGACTTGGGCTGCACAGAACAGCCCGTGCTGGCTGGGCCGCGACCTGGGGCAGGACACGGCCAGAAACCAGGAGCAACGATGCCCTCTCCTCGTGGCAGGCCCGGGGCAAGAAGGGCGTCCCTGGTGCGTGCATGCTCACACACAGTACGATCCGGAGCGCGGGCCGCTCTGAACGGAAACATGGAAGCGGGTTGACCGGCACGTTTATTAGCATAGACCTGAGGGTGACTCCCCCAGCCCCAAAGACATGACCCAAGGGGCCCAGCACAGTCAGGGACTGGCCCGAGGTTACACAGCCTTGCCCACCCCAGCAGCAGCACCCTCACCCAAGGGGGCCGCCCAGCCTGCCCCTCCAGGTGTTCCAGCCTCAGCTCGGTTTCCTGCACCACCTCTGTGCTCCCTCTCCATCCCTGAACCCCAGCCTCAGTGACACCCCCCTCCTGCCAGCCCAGCCACCTGGGGATGGGGGCAGGAAGAAGACCTACAAAGGAACACAACCCTGGGAGGGGTGCCCAGGGCGAGGGTGGGGGTGGAGGTGGTCAGGCCAGATAAAGGAGAAAAACAGATAAGTGGGTGGGGTGGGTGGGTAGAACCCGGGGTCTCCTGGGGAGAAGGGAGCAGGAGGAAGGAGGGCCCCGCCCCCAACCAGTCATCTTCAGAAAACCCCCTACCCAGGGCAATCCGAAGGAAAGGACAACTCGATACATTTCCCCGTTCCGCCTCAGTTTTCTCATCTGTGGAATGGGTGCTGGAGGGCGTGCCTGCCCCACAGGCTGGACGCCAGGTTCTGAGCTCGCGGTAATGAGGGATGACGGCATCACCGGTGCAGCTGAGGGCCCCCCACCGCAGGCCAGTGAGCCCTGCTAGATTTCCATGCCACCCACAGGCTCCAGAGGCCAGTAACCTCCCGAGGTCCCCCAGCGCGTGGCGCGCAGTGACTGGCTGCACAAGGCAGGCCTGGCGCTGGTTAATCGCTCCATAAATGCCATCTGAGGTCACTGTTAAGGGATGCAGGAGGTTGCCTGCCCAGGCAGCTGGCCGGGGCACCCCCACTCCAGGCAGGTGACTGCGGCTTGTTTTCCTGGACCTCGGCCACTGACTCAGGCTCCCTTTCCTGCCCCCCCCAACTCGGGCGCCCCCAGGCGGAAGCAAAGGGCCTGGGGCGGCAGGAAAGGGGGCGGGGCAGGGTACCAGCTGCGCACCCTCAAACGGCGTCCCAGGGGTCCGAATAGAGGTGCGCCCGAGTCGTCGGCTCCGCCGACCCCGACCCCGAATTCAGCGGCATTCAAGGAGCGCCCTCATTTACAGGGCGAGCGGCCCGGACCGGGCGGCGCCCCAGGGCCCTGGCCAGCAGGCAGGGGCGGGGGCCAGCGTGCGTCACCGCCCGCCTGGCCCCCCGCCCCCTGCCCGCCCAAACTCCACCCCAGGGAAGGCGGTGCGGATAAAGGCTCCGGGCCGCCCGCTCGGCCCCAGACCTACCCCGACACTGAGCTCTCGTCCAGGACGCGGGCACTCTCCGGACAGCTGGGAGCACGGACTGGCCGCGTGGGGTAAGTTGTGGGCAGGACCTTGCGGGCCAAAGAGAGGTTTCCCACTCTAGGCTCCCGAGGGTGTCCCACTTTTCTTTGTTCTTGGGTCAGGCAGGGTTTGGGGTGTCTCCAGACCCGGGAAGACCCCTCAGGGCGTGGAATGGGAGGGGCGAGGCGCAGCCAGCACCGCCTGGCGGGGACCTCAGCCCCCGCCCCGCCCCCCGGGCACTCCCCCTCCCCCGAGTGACCTTGAGCTAGTTGCGGTTCCAGCCTCAGTTTCCCCGGCTGTGCGGCCTCACTGTCCTGCTTTAGAGGCC